CCCCCCCCCCCGAGTAGCTGGGACTGCAGGCATGAACCACTGTGCCCAACTACTCCCCTGTTAATGAGACATTAATTATGGACTACTTTCAATTTTTTAAGTTGATAATCCTGTAAATACAATTAAAATCCAATCCAAAACTATGTAGTTTAGGAGCCATTTCTTTGAGCATTTACCTGAAATTGAAAATGCTGATAAGTACCTTGATTGGTAACATTTACATCCTAACAATATTAAGTTGTCTCCCTACTTCCCTTTACTACTTGCTCTAAGTCTTGCTCTATAGTTTTTTCTTAGCTAAGTGAAATTGAAGCATACTCACTTAACTTCCTTCAAATTAACTAATACAACAAACAAAAATTCTTTTACTTAGCCTATTAGCAGTCCTTATTCCTTAAAACCTCACCTTAATCTTCAATGTCAAGGAAAATGTAACAGAAGTTAATCTTGTAGACTTTTTTTTTTTTTTTTAAAGAGACCAGGTCTCACTCTTTTGCCCAGACTGTAGTGCAGTGGCACAATTATGGCTCACTGTAGCCTTGACCTCCTGGGCTCAAGTAATCCTCCCACTGCAGCCTCCTGAGTAACTGGGACTACAGGCACACCCCGCCGTGCCAGACTAGTTTTTTTCTTTTTATTTTGTGCTGAGACAGGATCTCACTATGTTGCCCAGGCTGGTCTTGAACTACTGGCCTCAAGCAGTCCTTCCACCTCTTCTTCCCAAATAATTCTGTAGACTTTTAGAATTCTTGGGGCTTAAGTCCTAGCAATATGATAATGATTTAAGAGTTTTCAAAGGTATTTTTAACTCTGCAGGTTTTCTACTTATTTAATGACCTGAGAATGTGGTATCTACCTTAGAACACAGCTTTACTATATATTCTTGCACTTCTTTCTTCTCTATTTTTGGTCCTGTTTTCTGACGCAACTTTCTATATTGCCAATTACCTGATACTGACTGATGTAATAAGACCTGTCTAAGTTTTCACTCTACACCAATAATATTAGAATCTAGGAGAGATTAGCTATGGAGACTGGAAAAGATGGGGGATCCATGAATAAGAATGTCGTATTCAAAGTTAACGTTAAACTTTTTGAGTTTACTGTGGCAGATTAAACTCATAAAATGGCAAAGAACAAAATGAAGTTACATTGTGCAATGGAGGACATGAGGGGCAGGGCCCACATTATAGCTAGAAATATACATTGTTAAACCTCTTTGTGGGGACAATTTGATGATAATGTTAACATTTATAGTGTACATACTCTGTAAACCATTAATTCCACTTTTAGGAAATTATTCAATAAATATTTTTGTAAATATACACAGTGGATATTTGTTGCAGCATGTTTTATAATAGTATAAAACTGGAAACAACCCAAATGTCTAACCAGAAGGGCCTGACTAAATAAAGTACGATACAAAAGTTTACCTGATGCTAGTTAAAAGAATGAGGGAAACTTGTATGAACTGTTATTGGACATTGTCTAAAATATATCAAGTAAAAAAGTACGGAACAGTTTTTATACTTTCCTTTGTGAGAAAGAGATAGATATAATTATACATATCCTTACTTAACATATACATTATGTATTTTATATGTATACATGTATGTTATATGAATTTATAAATATACACACATATACCATCTCTGCAAGAATGTGCAAAGAAAGAACTGCTAACAGGGTTTGTCTTTGGACAGGAGACTTCAGGAGCTAGGCGACTTACTTTTTACCTGTTGTATCTGACACCATTTACATGCATTTGCTTATTCAAAAATACACAGATATAGATATATCTATACATAGAAACAAAAACAAAAAATAGATACTAAGGAGGTTAATAGGAAATATGGTTTCATGCTGAGTTTTAGAGAATCTGTGACATAAACCTTTGGATCCTAGAGTAATTATACCCTACCATTGTAGGTGTCTAAATGTCTCAGTTAAGGAAAATTTGCAGCCTGATTCAGAACCCCCCACCCTGAATTATCTTTGAATAATGAGCCTTGGAACTGTCTTCTAACATTCTGACATCTTTCTGGCATCTGCTATAATTGTTGCTTCATACACATGGCAAGTGGAGTAAGTAATTGTTATTTAGAAATATGCAGTAATACATTTATGATATTATATAGTTGTGTTGAAAAAGGTTTAAACTGAAAAAGCTAAACAATGTTGGTGACCTTTTTTTTAACCTCTTAGTAAATAGGTCTTTATTACCATGCACTCTGATATACTTTGTTTTAGGCTCGGATGCTCATCATAGAAGAAAACCTGATGACCATTATCATTAAAACTTTTATGGATCATTTGAGACATCGAGATGCCCAGGGCAGATTTCAGTTTGAACGCTATACTGCTTTACAGGCGTTCAAGTTTAGGAGAGTTCAGAGCCTTATTTTAGATCTCAAGTAAGTTTTGCTTGATTATCAAACCAATTGCAACTTGTAAAATGACAGTGTTTATTTTTATGTTAATTGTTACTTTTATCTGGTTCAGGTACGTGTTAATTAGCAAACCAACTGAATGGTCAGATGAGCTGAGGCAGAAGTTCCTAGAAGGGTTTGATGCCTTTTTAGAATTACTAAAATGTATGCAGGTATGTATAAACAGTTATAGTTTTCTTTTTATTCTTTTTTCTTTACTCTCTTGTCCTCTTTTTTTTTTTTTAAGAGGGGGGTCTTGCTGTGTTGCCAAGGCTGGAGTCTAGTAGTGGCTATTCATGAGTGCCATCATAGCACACTATAGCCTTGGGCTCAAGCAGTCCTCCTGGCTTACCCTCCTGAGTAGCTGGGACTACAGGTGTGTACCACCATACTGGCTTTTTGTTGTTTTTATTGAAACAACAAACATTTCATTGAAACATCTTTCTGTCTGTGCATTTTTCTTTTGGGGCATGTTTTCAAAAGATGAGTTTGGATGGCTATAATTTGGACTAGGAAGCTTCTTTTTAATTGGAGATTCTTAGAAAAGTGTAGAGCAAATGAGATCCCAGCCAAAGTTCTGGAATCTATTGCTATTTTATATTTCTTTGGGTTGCCACTAATGTTCTTTCTTTAGAGATTGCACCTGTATTTTTTTAATATGCTTCCTATCAAAATGGCAAAGAACAAATGTTTGAAGTTACATCAGAGGACATGAGGGGCACAACCCACATTATAGCTAGGAAATAGACATTAAGCCTCTTTGTGGAGACAATTTGGGGATAACATTAACGTTTATAATGTACATAGTTGGAGGTTCAGTCAAGTTAGTTATTTGAGAAACTGTAGTTTTGTTTTTTAATGTTTCCATATTTATTTTTCTCCTTAATGCAATATTTATTTAATACAGTGTAGAGCCTTTTCCCCTGTTTAATTCTCTTTTTAAGAAACATCCCCATATACAAAACTGAATCTAAAAGTAGAAACCAACAGGTATATTTAGCCAGTAGTAACTGTTAGAAGATAGGTGACATGTCTAAAAATCTGAGCAAGTACTTTTATGATTCCTTTAGTAATCATCTGACTTTCTTAAGAAAAGGAATGACCAAAGTTGACCTTTCATTTTTAGAAAACATTCTAGTTCCTAGGTTGGGTTATAGTTCATGGGTGTTTAATTTATCATATAATACTACTGTGCTTTTCATGTATCTGTAAATGATACTTTGGTCATTTAAAATAATCTATTATTTACTAAGTTCTGACATACCAATGTAGTTAGGCTATTTTCTGCAAAGTGATATTCTTTTTATATTCAAAGCTGTTTATCATTTTGCCTTCTTTTAGGCTCTATGAAAACTTTCAATTGCATATTAGGGAATAAATATAAAAACTTTATTCTAATATATTATAAAATATAAATTCAATAACATTTTTAAAGCCTATCAAATTTCTTCTAACAATTTTTTTTATAGATAATAGAGCTAGAAAGTAATTTGAAGGGTTATTGCAGTGAAGTATTGAAGTATTTTATTGTCTAAAACAGATCTGGAAGTTTCCTCTAAAATAATTTATTTGCTGGAATTTTTCATTTTTATTTTAGAGAATGTTAAATAAATATTTAATTTTAAAAGCTATGACTTCTCATACTACTTGAGGCTTCCTACTAAAACTTATACCTTCTGTGTTTTTATAATCAATATATATGTTTTCTGCGTTATTTTTTAGGCTTTCATATTAAGAGAACCACTATAATGTTAATTCATATAACACTTTTTTTACTTTCTTTAAGGGAATGGATCCAATTACACGTCAAGTAGGACAACATATTGAAATGGAACCAGAGTGGGAAGCAGCCTTTACGCTACAAATGAAATTAACACATGTTATTTCAATGATGCAAGACTGGTGTGCCTTAGATGTGAGTTTCTTCTAGGAGGAAAATGAGGAAGGGGGGGAAATAAGCAGATTTCTAAATAAATTTTAGGAGATTTGGAGGAAATAGTAGTAAAAGTACATCTTTTTCTTGTCCACCTATAAATTCAATAAAATTTTAAAAGTCAAACTGTTAAAGCCTTAGGAAAAAACTTGAGAAATAGATGGGGGAAGATAATCCAAACTCTTCCATAGTGTAACTTTCCTCATTTTTCCATAAATCTCTTCTAGACTTTGAGAATATAAAAACAGCAGTTTATACATTTATTCAAAAATAAAGTTTTATCATTGGTACCTTTGTCCTGTGACCTTTCTTTGGCAATAAAGTCTAGATGAGAGCCTGTACAAGTTAGGGGATCAGGGAAGGTTTCCGTGAGCTCTGGGCAATGTGTAAAATTTAACTGAAAAAAGAGTAAATAATATTCCTGACTGAGAAAACAGTTGCATCGTGTCCTGTGATGAGAAGACAGTGGTTGTTCCAGGTGCTGTGAGAAGGGTCTGTGGTTGGAGCACAGAGGTAGAGGGCGGAGAGATGGGCAGGGGTCTGACTTGGCAGGGCCTTGGCTGTGGAAAGAAGTTTAGTTTTTACTCTAATTGAAGTGGGCAGACTAGAAACCACCAAGCAAGGGGAGAGTGACGTGATGCATTTTTCGTGTTTTAAAAATTACTTTGTGGAACATGGGGCTCAAGTTGAAGCAGGGAATTTAAGAGAGATAATTGGCAGTGCCTTTGAGTTACTGGAGATAGAAAAGTGACTGGTTTTAAGAGAAATTTAGAAGATGGAATTGCTAGCTGGTAATAGATTGGACAGTAGACAATGAGGAAAAGGAGAATGTTGGAATAACTTCTAGATTTCCATAGCTGTGTGGATAGAGGTATCATTCACTTAGACAGATACTACAAAAGGGACCAAATTTGGGAGGGAGGATTACATTTGGTTTCACCCATATTGTTATTTGAGGTATTCATTCATCATCGATTTGAGGTGCTTATTCAATGTTGTAGAAACTCAACCTTTTGAGTAACTTACAGAAAAACCCTCTTTTTTAGGAAAAAGTGTTAATTGAAGCTTACAAGAAATGTCTCGCTGTATTGACACAGTGTCATGGTGGTTTTACTGATGGTGAGCAGCCAATCACACTAAGCATTTGTGGACATTCCGTGGAAACTATCAGATACTGTGTTTCCCAAGAAAAAGTTAGCATTCACCTCCCAGTTTCTCGCTTACTTGCAGGTAAAGCATTTCACCTAAAAAAGAATGCTATAATTATCTTTTACATTGTTTGTGGTTAATATTTATGAATACCTACTATGTGCTGGGTGTTATTCTGAGAGCTTTACATGCATTGATTTATTTAGCCATCACATAGGCCTGTGAGGTGTAGGTATTTATTAAGCTGGATTCACAGGACAGAGAGAGTGCCTTGCCTAACATCACACAGCAAGAAAGACTCAGAGTTAGCATTTTGAGGCAGTTTGGCTCCAGAGACCATGCTTATAGTCATTGTTCTACAGTGCTACTTCAGACACCTTAATTACAGATAGCATGCTTTAATGTTTAACTCAATCCAGCATCAAGGTTTGTGTTGTTCCCACTCAAACTAACCTATCACTTAAGCGATTGCTAATAATTTCAAGCCACCCTAGGCTTTCTCGACCTCTCTTTACCTCTGATTTATATTATTGATAACCTTTAGAGCAGCAGATCAAGAATAAGGTCATATTGGGATGATCATTCTTTTAATCTTAAGTAGTTGATTTATAAGCTATTTATAATTAACTGGTAGAATATCTGAAGCTGCCACCTTGCAGCAGCCAGAGACTTTAATATGCACTTATTTGCCGGGCTCAGTGGCTCAGCCTGTAATCCCGTGCCTTTGGGAGACTGAGGTGAGTGGATTGCCTGAGCCTGCGGGTTCGAGACCTGCCTGGACAGCGAGACCTTATCTCTACAATAAATAAAAAAATCAGCCGGGCGTGGTAGCGCATGCCTGTCATTCGGAAGGCTGAGGCGGAAGGATCGCCGGAGCCCAGCAAGTCTTGGCTGCGGTGGCTGGGAGTGGCCACTGCACTCCAGTCTGGGCGACAGAGCGAGACTCCAACTCAAAAAAAAAAAAAAAAAAAAAAAATATATATATATATATATATATATATGCACTTATTCATCTCTACAGACTTATTTCAGTACAGCTTCCATATTTCTTGATTCTAGATATTCTTACATTGCTCACATACTGTTGTTACCATTAGTTGCATATTAATTCAGAGAATAGAAGTTCTGCAGGTAGATATTTTTTTCATTGCAGAATATGTAATTTATCTTCAGATTGTGGCTCAGTAACTTTTAACGTGATGTGAAAGGTGTGTTTTTTACTTTGTTTTGCTTTTTCTGGAAGAGATCGTGGAGAATTTGTATCATTTCTTCCTTAAATGTTTGCTAGAATTCACCAGTGAAACCATCTAATACTTTAGTTTTTGGAAGGTTATTAATTTTTGATTCAATATCTAATAGATATAGGCCTAGTCTGGTTATCTGTTTCTCTTGTGTAATAAGACCCTTGCCATGAGTATGTTATTGAAGCCATGGTGTTGTTTTTTTTTGAGTTGGAGTCTCACTCTGTCACCCAGATTGGAGTGCAGTGGTCTCCCCCGGCCACCACAGCCTCGCCTGCTGGGCTCCGGTGATCCTTCTGCCTCACTCAGCCTTCTGAGTAGCCGAAATTACAGGCGTGCGCTACCACACCCGGCTGTTTTTTTGATTTATTGTAGAGATGAGGTCTTGCTGCCCAGGCAGGCCTCGAACCCGCGGGCTCAGGCAATCCACTCACCTCATCCAAAGGCGCGGGATTACAGGCTGAGCCACCGATCCCAGCAAAGCCATGGTGTTTTACAATCATCCCTTATCCTGAGGCTTTATGAAGTTGTTGTTCTTAGACATGTGAATATGATAGTACAACAGATAATTACTAGAATGAAATTATGATCTTAAGAAAAATATCTCTTTTTTCTATAACTTTTTTAGTCCCAATATTGTTTGTTTGTGTGTTTTGAGCAACTGAACTGTTGATCCTCAACATAGGCAACTGACAGCATGGTGTTGTAGAAAAGTATTGGATTAAAAGGCAAGAAAGCGAGTGCTGTCTCCAACTCAACCACTATCTCTTCTGCCTTTAAAAATATGGTTTTATGGATAGAAACTGATGCTGATTGTTACCCACAGTGAAAAAATTCAATACTCTAAAAATGTACTGACTTCTGCCTGGGTCTTGACCTTCCTCAAAGCTGTTGCCTGAATATTTTTTTTTTCTCTTTTTGAGTTGCAATCTCACTCCATTGCCCAGGCTGGAGTGCCGTGTCATACTCACGTCCACCCCAGCATCGACCTGCTGATCTCCGGTGATCCTTCCACCTCAGCCTTCCAAGTAGCCTGAACTACAGGCATGCACTACCAAGCCTGGCTAATTTTTTATTTATTGTAGAAATGAGGTCTTGCCAAGTTGCCCAGGCTGGTCTTGAACCTGCAGGCTCAGGCAGTCCACTCGCCTCAACCCTTCGAAGTGCTAGGATTATACGCTGAGCCACCAAGCCCAGCCTGCCTGAATATTTTAAAGTTTTAATCTCATTGTATTTGATAAACCTTGGCCTGAATGCTCATCTAATTGGAGAGCTAAGTAATACACAAAACAATTGAGTGTGTGCTAATGGAGCTTGAACTAACTGTTGAGAACAAGTTATTAGAATGAGATCAATAGTGCAGGTCTTCTTGAGTTAAGAAAACTTGAAGCCAGGCTTGAGCAAGTAGCCAATATAAGAGCATTCTCTGCTTAGGCAACAGCATAAATGGGACACAACCAGAACTAAGGTTGAGCTATATGAGAGTCCCTTCAGATTAGAAACTTAAGAAACCCTGATCCTAAACTGGAAGTTCTGGGAAACTTAATTCTGAGGTCAGAATCTGAGCAGACCATGAATCCCAGGGCTAGTTTCTCTGTTTAGTTACCAGAAGGATATCTCCTGCTATACTTTAAATGGGAACAAACTCCATGACCCGGTGAAATATGACTCTAATAGTTGACATAACATACACAAATTGTTTTGATAGTTATATAACTGCATTTGTGTTGTTTGTACATCTAACCATTTACTTTTTAAAATGTCATTAATATATGTTTGTAATTGTAATAAAGACCAGTTTTAAATATGCCTTTAATATGGATTTATGAGAATAACTATGAAAAACCTTCATTTGTATACATAGTTCATTTTATATCTTAATTTGTAATCTGATAGGTTCCCAAAGAGAAAAGAAGTTAAATAATAAAGTTGAGTGAATGTTTAGGGTTTTTTCTAAATGATTTTCACTTACAGAAATACTTTGTTTATTCTTTCACACAGGTTTGCATGTATTATTAAGCAGAAGTGAAGTGGCATATAAATTTCCAGAGCTCCTACCTCTAGTAAGTGGTGCTGACATTTAAATAGCAATTAAAAATGAGTACCTATTTATTACATCCCATGTTTTTGAAATAGCTTTTTTTTGTTTTGTTTGAGTCAGAGTCTCACTCTGTCACCTAGGCTGGAGTGCAGTGGCATGCTCATGGCTACCACAGCCTCAACCTGCTGGGCTCAGGTGATCCTTCCGCCTCAGCTTTCCAAGTAGCTGGAACTACAGGCGATCTCCACCACACCTAGCTAATTATTTATTTATTTATTATAGAAATGAGGTCTTGCCATGTTGGCCAGGCTGGTCTCGAGCTCCTGGGCTCAGACAATCCTTTCACCTCTGCTTCCTAAAGTGCTGAGATTACAGGCATAAACCACCATGCCCAGCACTGAAATCACTTTGTAACATGTTTTATTAGTTTGGATTCTCCAGAGAAACAACCAATCAGATGTATATATTGCACGCACGCGCGCACACACACACACAGAAAATTTTAAGGTATTGGCTTACTAAAGTTATGAGGACTGGCAAGTATAAAATCCATGAGGCAGCCAGGCGGACTAGAGAGACCCAGGGAGGAGTTGATGTTGCAATTTCAAGTATAATGACAGAATTCCATCACAGGTTAAAAAAAATTAGATGCCCTCGCAGCAACATCTAGATTGGTGTTTGAACAGGTTTTGCTGGATACCATAACCTAGCTAAGTTGACACATAATATTAACCATCACACAAACATATCTTAACATAATTTTAATTCACTATGTTTTAAAAATGAGTTCATCTGTCAACCAAGCTTCTTTATAGAGTTTTTTTGTGTATGTTTTTATGGTTTTGTTTTTGCTTTCTTTTCATATACAGAGTGAACTTAGCCCACCTATGTTGATAGAGCACCCTCTTAGATGTCTTGTTTTATGTGCCCAAGTACATGCTGGAATGTGGAGAAGAAATGGATTCTCTCTAGTAAACCAGGTAAGTGTTTTTTAATTTTTTGGAGCATTTTCATTCCATTCCTTGGGTTCTGTGACGGATGTAATTTTCAATGGACTTACAACCTTCTTGTGCTTTTAAGTGAAAGTTGAGTATCTGTATTAAAATTGTTTGAAAAAATAAATGTAATGATAAATCAAAAAGTTTCTTAGAATTTTTATTCACAGTTTGTCAAGAAAAATAATCAAAAGTAGAAATGAACAATAGAGATCTTGATTTTTCACTGAAATATATTTTTAGAACAAAATAGGATTTTTTTTTTTTTTTTAATTTGAAGTCTCACTCTGTCACCCGGCTGGAGTGCAGTGGCACACTCACGGACACTGCCGCCTCAACCTGCTGGATTCAGGTGATCCTTCCACCTCAGCCTTCCAAGTAACTGGAACTGTAGGCATGTGCCACCACGCCCGGCTAATGTTTTTGATTTATTGTAGAGATGAGTTCTCACCAGGTTACCCAGGTTGGTCTCTAACCCATGGGTTCAGAAGGCAGTCCTCTCACCTCGGCCTCCCAAAGTTCTGGGGTTATAGGAATGAGCTACTGCACCCAGCCTACAAAATTGGATTTTTAAAAAAAATTTTAAGTTCAGATTTTATGTATTTAAGTTTAAATTGGGTTAAAATAATAAAAATTATTTTAGTATAGCTCTAAAATTGAGATGTTACTTTTTAAAATTTCACCTAGACTTGGAATTTTTTTTTTTCCTTCTGTTTTTAGCAGTTCTAAACCTTCCTAAGACGACAGCCTTTTGCTTTGTTGAGATACACAGAATGTTGGTGCCTAATATGACCGTTGTAATCTGGAAAATTCTAGTCAATGTGTTCTAACATAGTGTTAACTTCTCAGGCAGGAAACCATATTGCACATATGTGCACACTTGTACTCATAAAAACCCATATGCTTTTTGGGGGGAGGGAGGAGGTTACACCAATAAAAACCTATTTACCCGATATAATTAATTTTTTTTTTTAGATTTATTACTACCATAATGTGAAATGCAGACGTGAAATGTTTGACAAGGATATAGTAATGCTTCAGGTAATGAACTTGAACTTAAAAGTTGTAGGGTCTTTTGCTTCTTGTTATTTCCACAGTCACTTGTGATCACTCCCAAATCTGTAATTGTAGCCTAGCCCCATCTACTAAACTCCAAACTCATATGACTAACAGTCTGTAGAGCATTTCCATCTAGATTTTCTGGACATATCTCAGATTTAACATGTTCAGAAAAACTCCTTATTTTCTCCAAACCTTTTTCCTATCTTTGGTTTTCTACCTTGGTGAATTGTTCTATAATCTGTCTAGTTGCTGAAGTCAGAAACCTGAAAGCCATCCTATTTTATTGTCCTCTTTAACTTATTTTAAACCCTTTAGTTTAAGCCCCTTAAACTAATTTTCAAGACCTAAAATACTAAATTACATTGACGTTCCCTGAATTTGCCGTACTCTCCTGAATCTTAAACTTTGGTATTTGTTTTGCTCCCTGGATTACTTACCCCTTCCTTTTCCATTCACCTTATTTTTCTGTGCGTCTTGCTGTTAACTTTAGTAATTACTTTCCCCAGGAATCCCTGACACACTGAAACTTGGCTAAGTAACCCTTTTGTGAGGATCCTAGCATGGCTCTTACCCCTGCCACTGGCACTGACAACTCTGGATTGTGATTACCTGTTTACATTTCATCACTCCTACCTCTACCAAACCATGGCAACTATAGCTTGTTTCTTTTTTTGCCCCTTTTGCCTTGCACAGTTCTTGTCACATATTAATTGTTCTATGTTATTGCCGAATGGATTTAATAATTATAGAAAAGTAAAGTCAAGAAATGTACAATTCAAAAAAATTACTAGTTCAAAGTAAGTTAAAATCCGGGTTGATTTAGAATATATGCAATTAGAATTAAAGGAGAATTGGAACTATTACTTAAAAGCTGTCACTTCAGTTAGTATTGTGCTTACCACAAAAAATAGATTGAGAGATCTTGATAATAGTTTAATATGATGTATATTTTTTAAATAGTAGAAGCTTAATTAATGTACCACATTTCTCTGAATCTATCTAGTGATCCCCAAACAGTGATTAGAGAACCTTGAAATAAAAATTTGGAACCAAACCCATAGGAACACAATTATTTCAAAGTATTAGAAGGAAAGAGAACTCATAGTCCATGTTATTCCAATGTGTGATTTTAGGTTGTAGGTGTTTTTTGTTTATATTTTGTTTTTACCAACTTAGATTTCTTTTTACACTTGTCAGCTACCAAAAGTAAAGATTGAGGCCAAATGGGTTTCCACCTTTTATTGGGATTGGCAAACTGCTTTCTCTTGTGCAAGCCAGAGTATCTGTTATTAATTGTTTAGTGGCCCTTCTAACCTTCCTCTTTTCCTTTATCTCAAACATTTAAAAAAAAAAAAAAGACAGGTGTCTCCATGATGGATCCAAATCATTTTCTGATGATAATGCTCAGCCGCTTTGAACTTTATCAGATTTTCAGTACTCCAGACTATGGAAAAAGATTTAGTTCTGAGATTACCCATAAGGTAAGAATGTGTTTTAAGAGACTACAGCCCATTGCTAAAGAAGCAGCTTTTATTATTTTGGGATATTTTAATCATCTAAGATATTGCAATATGTGTATTCTTATTTCTAAACTTTATCTTCCCCCACTTGTTATAGGATGTTGTTCAACAGAACAATACGCTAATTGAAGAAATGCTGTACCTCATTATAATGCTTGTGGGTAAGTTTAAATTATTTGAGACATTATAAATTACACTGGAGTGTGTGGGAGTAGATAGTTCAGAAATTCTGAACTATATTTGTTTTGAGATGATACTCAGTTTTAGGGGAAGAAAATTAGAATATCCCTCTTTCTCCCCCTCTGGTTATGGTGATATTGAGAATAACAGTACTATGGTACTTTGGAAAAAGGAGAAAGTTCAACTACTGAAGTGGAATAAACTAGAAGACTATGTTTTGGGAAAAAACAAGGATGTGAGAATTTAGCAAGCAAGGAATAGGATATTTAGGAGCTATTTACTGTTACTTTTTGTCTTACTTATGTTTCTCTCCATTAGGTTTGTTGTGTAAGTGTCTTCTTGACTTCAAATGTAATAATTCCAAGCTAATGAAGATCTGATTTCTTTTCTTACTATCTATCATTGAAGTCCTTTTCCCCATCTTTCCCATTCATTTATCCCTTACCTTCTACCCCCTCTCCTGTTATTTTCAACCCTCCATAGACTATAGAGAATACTGGCTTCTGCCAGGAGGTGAAACCAGTGAAGAAGTTCTCAGAAGTTGATGTCTTACTTGCCACCTGACAGAAAGGGAAAGGAAAGCTCTCCATCCTTGCTGCCACAAGGAAGATGGAGTGAAAGAAGTTTTCTTGATTACATCTAAATCCTTCCCACCCTTCTGATCCCATTCTCCTAAAATAGCAAGCAGAGCTCTCTCCACTGCCTAAATCTGGCCCTCACATGTTGTGTCTGAGACTCGGAAATATGGCCAGGAGCTAGTCTCTCTAGTTTATTACCGGACCACTCATTGCTTTCCCATTTCTCAAAGAGACTAAAATAGAGAAATATATGATGCTGTATAAGTATACATCACATAAGTATTGTGATCATGTTAAATATGTGTCTATATCCTTTTGTGTTTTTGATAGGAGAGAGATTTACTCCTGGAGTTGGACAGGTAAACGCTACAGATGAAATCAAGCGGGAGATAATTCATCAGTTGAGTATCAAACCTATGGCTCATAGTGAATTGGTAAAGTCTTTACCTGAAGATGTAAGTACCTACATTTTAAAAAGAAAATTATAGAAATCTTTCCCTACCTATCAGTCTAGTATGTATAGATTTACTTCTATATAGCTTTTCCACAATTGTAAAAACTACAGTTCTAGGATGTGTATAACTCCAATCACTCTTACAAATAATTAGAAAAAGAGAATGGTAGAGACTAGGAGTGGAAAACAGAGTGGACTATAATCTTTTGCAACAAAGCCGTGAAAGAGATAAGGGCACCCAGTCCTTAGAGCTGAATTTTTGTCCCCTTAGAGGTTAATATTATTAAGTTGCCATGCATATAGATAGTACTTTATAGCCTAGTATATTGAGGAAGGAAGTGAAGAATACCTACTTACCCGCGCGGAGTAGACTAAATGAAGTTTTCCAGAGCTTTTTTCTTCTCAAGCATTCAAAGATTTCTCCTTAGTAATGAGCCATTATTTCATTTTAGTAAATGTAAAAGAATAGTCACAGGACATTTATAGGTTGAATTCCAACTGTCTTTCCTCCCAGGGGTTGTAAATTTTTGAGCCACCTATTTTTCAGCCATGGGTCTTCTCAGAAACTAAACCCTAATAATTGAGAAGGGACTTTATTTTCATTGGGACTTTTCAAAATGTTTTCCCTAATTTGAAACATAGGTCAAAACTTTCAACCTTAATGTTTATTTTTCTGGGATTTCAGCCTATCTTTGTTGCATAGTAATACTTCTTTTAAATTTTGTATTATAAAAAAATTGAAATGTCTACAGAAATAGAAAGTATAGTATAAAAAGTCCATGACCAACTTCAGCAGCTGGCAATCTTGTTTCATCTATATCCCAGCCACTAGCCTCTGTGCCCCCACAGGACTGTTTTGTAGAGATTACTAGAGCTACCATTTCATCTGTCAATAGGACTACATAAAACTATCTAAAACAGTGGTTCTCAACCAGAGACAGTTTTGAAGCCCTGGGTACATTTGACAGTATAATAGGTGTTTTTTTGTTTTTTAAAAAACCTATCCATGTATAAAAAAACAACAGTTGGCCGGCTCGGTGGCTCAGCCTGTAATCCCAGCACTTTGGGAGGCCAAGGCGAGTGGATTGCCTGAGCCCAAGGGTTTGAGAACCGCCTGGGCAACTTGGCAAGACCTGGTCTCTACAATAAATCAAAAAAAAACTAGCCGAGAGTGGTAGCGCGCACTTGTAGTTCCGGCTACTTGGAAGGCTGAGGCAGAAGGATCTCCAGAGCCCAGAAGATTGAGGCTGAGATGGCTTTGACTGTGCCACTGCCCTCTAGTCTGGGTGACAGAGTGAGACTTCAACTCAAAAAAAAAATACAACAATTAATAATTTATTAGTATCACTGAACATCTAATCAGGATAAAAACTGCTTGTCCTTTTTAAATGTAGGAGATGAATCCTGAGTTGTTAGATGTTCAGGCAGTTATAGTTTAGCCTAGACTTTAAGGAAGAATAAAATTTAAAACATTTTCAAGGTGGTTATGCCTTATACAAAGTGATACATTTTCCAAACGTTTTGACCAAAAAAATTATTTATTCACAGAATTCCTATTAACATCTTGTTGTAAATGGAATATGATCTGGGAAGTACTGTTTTACTGAAAATAGATAAAAAGCTTTGTGTAACTATTTCCTAAAATTGTACAGATATTTTATACAAATTTCATTTCAATGTTTTATATATTTTGCTTTTGTTTAATTTCTTTTGAAAGCTCTTCCTTGATTCTATATGGTAGTCACTTTTTAAAAATTATAAAATTATATCAACTTGAATGTCAGCTCACCAACTAAATCTACCTAATTATATATTAATCATTATGTTTACTATGAAATCTTTATTTGTAAAAATGAGGATAATAGTATATCTACCTCATAGGGTTGCTATGAAAGTTAGTGAGATAAATCACAGTGCTCAGAGTACTCGTAGTTATTCTTATTAAAATGAAATGCACTTGTTTCCTGTACCTCTAGGAGAACAAAGAGACTGGCATGGAGAGTGTAATTGAAGCAGTTGCCCATTTCAAGTGAGTTTACTTCCTAGTATTTCATGTTCTTTTTTTTTAAATGCATACTTTTTTTGTGTCCTTTGGGTTTTTTTAGAGTGTTTCCTTTGATGGAAGTGAGAATGAAGTTGCTGCTTTCAGAGAGTGACAGACATTTTCAAATTGTAGTTCTAAATTAGATTTCTTAACTGGCATTTTACTTTTCTGATCTCACCCTGCATTCAGCAACTTAAAGTAGCGTTATGAGGTTTTAATTGCCTTCAGAATAGATGTTCATAGCTGCTGGTTTCAAATAATAGAAATTAAACTGAGCAGTGATCTAAGTAAATGCGTTGTGATTTCTTAGAAGTGCTGTGTTTCCATTACTTAAATTGTGGGATGGCCTTTAAATGCCTTCCTGGTGTCCATTGTCTTCCTCAGTCAATAAACTAGTTGATACCCTGAAAGTTGTTTAGACAGTGTCTTAATCTTGCATTTCCCCTGCTTCCCAACCCAATGACAGTTGTTTCTGCTGATTATAAAAACAACATGCTTTTAGAGAAAATACAAAGAAGTATGAAGAAAAAAATACTACCTTTAATCCAGGCACTCAGATAATTTCTATTGTCTTTCTAAACTTTATTTCTATACTTATTTCACTATATGTGAAAGTGACTGGAAAGATATATTCCTTAACAGAAAATAGTTCATTTTGTATTTCCTATTTTATGACCACTTTTAAAATTAAACTTTAACAGGGTATTTTTATGTTTCTGTTTGGGTTTTTTTTTTTTGAATACTTACTATAACTTGTCAGTACATATAGGCCTACTTCATTCTTTTGTTTTTACTTATTTGTAGTTATGTTCTGTGATGTATCTAACCTTCCCTATTGGTGTGATATTTAATTTCTAGCTTTTCTCTATTATAAACAGCAAGTATTGAACATATTGTACATGTATCATTGACATGTGTCTCTTTGATTATAAAAGTGTTTCTTTGAGGATTTGCTAGATCAAAAGGAAAGTATATATTACATTTTGATATGTACCTCAAATTACCTTCCCAAAAAGGTCATCAGTTTATAATCTCACTAGCAGGATATGAGAGTGTCCTGCAACTTTGTTAGCATGTTGATATATACATTCTTAATTTCTACACATTAGATGGGTGACAAATGTTACCTTAATTTTAATTTCCATTACTCTACCTCCCAGTGAAGTTAAACATCTTTTCATGTGGTTATTGGCTACCTATTTTTTTTCATAGTTTTATGTACTTTTCTTTATGATTGTTTGTTCCTATCTTACTATTCCATAGCACTTTTATATACATAGGAGATATCAATTATTATATATTGCAAGTATTTTCTTTTAGTCTATCACTTGGTCTTTAACTTTCTTTATGGTGTCATTTCACACAATTTTTTTTTTAGTCTCACTCTGTCACCCAGGCTGGAGTGCAATGGCACTATCACCACTACCACCACAGCCTTGAACTTCTGAACTCAGGCAATCCACCTCAGCTCTGCAAAAAACTGGGACTACATGTGTGCACCCCCACGTCTGGCTTTTTTTTTTTTTTTTTTTTTAATTGTAGACATGAAGGTCTCGCCATGTTGCCCAGGCTGATCTCAAACTCCTGAACTCAGCAATCCTTTCCCCTTGGCCTCCCAAAGTAGTGGGATTACAGGCATGAGCCATCGTACCCAGCCTCACACAAATGTTTTTAAAACTCTTTCTGTCTTATTTGGCTTCTGGGTTTTGTAACTTGCTTAGGAAAGTTCTGAAACCCTTTTTTCCACTTAATAGAACTTAACACAGACATCTGTACAAGTCAAAATAGAGAAATTAATACCACTCTTAATGCTGTTCAATCATTTGAAGATTTTACAGTTTAAGTAACCTAGTCCATGTTATTTCTTAAATTGTTGCCTCACAGTGTTCATTACAGTCACTTGTCCAGTAGGATAAATTCAAAGTCGACATGGTAGATAAAGTGAACGCACATAGAACTTTAGATTTAAATTGCCAAATTAACCTACAGAAAATAGTTCTAGCTTAACAGGCACCAGCGGTATATGGGAGCTCTGCTTTCTTGTCCTAATAGAGAAAAAAGACTGTCTTGTGCATTAGTGTGTGACTATAGTAATAATTTCTAAGGACTTTTCTTTCATAGGAAACCTGGATTAACAGGACGAGGCATGTATGAATTGAAACCAGAATGTGTCAAAGAGTTCAATTTGTATTTCTATCACTTTTCAAGGGCAGAACAATCCAAGGTAATTGGGAAAATTAAAAGAGTAGTGGAGAAAGGTTGGGTGTGTGTTTGTTTGTTTGTTTGTTTGAAGAGTCAAGGTCTCAACCAGGCATGATGACGTGTCCCTATAGTCCTAGCTACTTGGGAGGCTAAGGCAGGAAGATCACTTGAGCCCAGGAATTGGAGGTTACAGTGAGCTATGATCGCCACTGCACTCCAGCCTGGGTGACAGAGTGAGACCCTGTCTATTGAAAAAAAGAGAGAGAGAGAGACAGGATCATACTGTGTACACACTGTATGTGTACATTGGCTATTCACAGGTACAATCATAGCATGCTGTAGCCTCAAACTCCTGGACTCAAGAATCTTCCTGCTTTAGCTTTCTGAGTAGCTGAGATCTCAGGCTCCCACTGCTGTACCCAGCTTGGATTTTTGGGGTTTTTTTCCTAAACAACATTTACTATTTTTCACAGATTGTAAAAGAATACATTTTTATTATAGGAAATTTGGAAATTAAAAAAAAGGTATAAAGAAGAAAGTACAAATTACTTAGAATATCGCCACCTGAAATTTTGGGTTTTCACCCTGATGTTTTGTGCATACTATACAAGAGCTATTTAATTAAATACATACCCATACATACATACATAATTGTATTTTGTTAGCTTTTGAAGACAAAGTTTCAACCTGCATTATAAACAGTTAACCCATTTTATACCTATTTCAGAAGTGGTATTATTTAACATGCTTTTCCATAGAGACTTATGCAGTTTTTCTAATCATTCTTAGATAATTAAATGTTGTCTTTTAGCAGTCTTCTCTTAAAAATGCTTTTTCAATAAATGGTATTAAACAAAACTTGAACATGAAGCTTTTAATTCATTTTTGATGAATGTCATAGAGTTCAGACCTAAATAAGTTGTTATGGTGTGGGTTTGTACATATTGTCCTTGCATTTTAAAGCAACAGAGAATTCATTTGAGGATTATTTTAGTGGAAAAAATTAACCTTGACATATCCATTTGGGGGAGGACTACAACATTAAGGATAAGAGTCTTCTGAAATCAGAAGATAATGCAGTAAAATTGACTTATGTCACTGGTTTTGGATATTAAGTTGTTTTGTATTACAAATTCCCTAACCAAGTTACTGTCTCTTTTATTAGGCAGAAGAAGCTCAACGGAAATTGAAAAGACAAAATAGAGAAGATACAGGTATTTTTAATCTTCTCTCCAAAAATTACATGCCTGTCTCTTTTATTTTTTAAACATTGTTTTCTATTAACTGTGAAGATTGTCCTTAACTATAATGATTGTCTTTAGCTTTCTGAGTGATGATTCTCCTATTCAAATAAATAATAAATATATTAATACAGAAGTACTATGTACTAAGTTCCTCTAGGTTAATGGTTTTATTGCAGATCTTAAGACCTTTCTAAGGAAAAAGAAGGCTTTCCTTTTTACTGCTGCTGTTTATGTAACTATTTTATGCATTTGACCTTGAGAAGGTAAAATATACCCTTAAGCTGTGTGTTAGGAAATACACTTTGAATAAAGACTATCAAAAGTATGTAACAAAAGGATAGTTTTTTAAAAAGCATATTCCATAAAAGAAGCGCATAATACTTTTATTTTCAGCCCTTCCACCTCCAGTTTTGCCTCCATTCTGTCCTTTGTTTGCAAGTTTGGTTAACATTTTGCAGTCAGATGTCATGTTGTGCATCATGGGAACAATTCTGCAGTGGGCTGTGGAACATAATGGATATGCCTGGTCAGAATCCATGCTACAAAGGGTAGGTTTGATGACATTTATTATTTCTATTTTAGTGTTTTATAGTAAAAGCAAAATACCCTTCTCAGTATCTATACACAGAAAAAATAGGACATACATGTTCTGTATTGCCTAATTTGAAATATAGTATATTGTTACTGCTTTTGTGTCTGACAATGAAAACAAGTGTCTGGCAGATTTTTTTTTTTTATCCTCTATGGTTGTGATGACCTCAGTCCCATTGGCTAATCTGTCTCTCCTTGATTGGTTCTGGTCTTTATGTATACAGTACTCTGATATTGGCATGATATGTTCCCTTTTACATATGTTTCTAATTTAATTATTTTTTTTAAAAATCCATATTTTACAGTTGAAGAAATTGAGACTCAGAGACTTATGGTCCTATAGCTAATAAGTGACAAATCTAGAACTTTGTTTATATTTTGCTTTATATAGCCTTAATGTAAGTCATTCTAACATTATCACATTTAATTCACACAACACTCCTATGAATAGATATAACTTTTTCTATTGTGTAGATGAGGAGACCAGGTTTCAGTGAGATTCAGTTAATGTTCCATGATACTCAACTAGTAAGTGATATAATCATTATTATTCAGTTAATAGAATGCTTACTTCATGCCTTTTCCTTCTGGCACTTTACATACAGTCTTTGTCACCTTCAGAACTCTGGAGGGAGCTGTTTTTTTCTGTTTAAAGTGATGGACATAGGGTTCACTGAGAGTGTATAGCTTGCAAGCAAAAAAGCCAGGATTCAAATGAAGTCAAGCTCTCCTCCAAAGCTTTCATGTTTTCCTATTGTCTCAGCAGACCCAAATATCTTACTGGCTAAGATATGTGTATACCTACACCCCCATCCCATATTTAAACATTTAAAATGTAAAAGCATGGAGCTATGGTGTACTAGAGACTGTTAGCATTATGTGAGCAAAAGATGAGTTAGACAGAAGAATGAACAGTATTTGCCTTATGTGTATATTTGCTTTATGTCATTCAGGCTAACCTAGGTCTTCCAAGTCTCTCTCAACCACAGTCGCCCTATTTGGAGGAAAAGATACAGAGAAAGCACACACATAATTCCTTCACAAATTGGGGAATGGGATAAGAGTGGTAAAATACAAATGAGTTAGAGTAGTTATATATGTTCTTAGAAATCTGGTAAGAAATGTTTTTTGAAGTATGCTGAACAACTATAAACTTTATAAATTATGTGGCTTTAGAGCTAAAAATACGTCTCTTCATCAGATGGTTAAAATTTAGTTCTTAGAAAAAGAAATTGAACCTAGGTAGTATCATAGACTGGATAATTGCATGATAGATACTTTCAGCTTTGTAATTATTTGGCCACCCATTCTTGAAAGATTTTTTTTTTTTAGGACTGTAGTATAGATCTGGAATAAAACTGAAAATTATATGAATTGCCAGTCACATCCTAAGAATTTGTAATTGAAATTTCTTCCTCACTGATGTAGAAAATTTTGTTTTCCTTGCTGAATATTCTTTATTAGAAAATGAGCCTCAGTCTTTGCTTCGTATTGTTTTTTATTGCATTTAGTCTTTAATAGTTTGATTTATCTTTTTTCAGTAGTAAACTAATTCTTTTTTGCTATTTCTTATAAAAATATGTACTTAATTTTTTTAAAACTAAAAGTTACAAAACATTTCATTTGAGGTGTTACATTTAATTGGAATGGCACTACAAGAAGAAAAACAACATTTAGAGAATGTCATGGAAGAGCATGTAGTAACATTTACCTTCACTCAGAAGATATCAAGTATGTATATACACTTTTTACTAAACTAAGTCAAGATCTAAGTGATTTTAAATAATCACTTATAACCTTTTATTTGATCATTTCGATTCTAAATGGGTATTATTGAATCCAGATATTTGAGGCTATATGTATTCATCTGTATACTAAAGGTACTGTATTAGATCCTGATATATTTTTATAAAAATTCCTAGGGCCTATACATACTTAAAATAACCCATAAACAACAAAAAATAATGAAGAGCCCTTAGTTGAAGATGGGTATATGCCTTCTGATCAGTGGTGAATGAAAAAAAAAGGAAAAAGAATCAAATTGGTGTAGCACATATACTTAAACTATAGGATATATTTTTAAAAACACAAAGTAAATTGTTGTTGTTACCTTATCAAAGCTTAAGATTTTATGGTATTGAAAATTAAAACCTTAGCTATACTGGATTAGATTGTCAGTTTATATAAAGTAACAATACTTCTTTTTAGAAGGCCAGGGATTTTTTTTAGCTTTTTATTTTAAAATTTTCAAACATATAGGCAAGTTGAGAGACTTTCGCAGTAGACATTCATGTACAGAGCAAGAATCTGCCTTTAAAAATTTTTTTTTAAATAAAAAGATGCCTACGTTCATCTTGTACTTTCCCTCATCAGACCTGCACTCAGCCATTTGCTAAGATATATTTAAATGAATTTGTGGTGAAATGAGAAGAGTTTGTAAATGCCTTGATTGAAAAGGATTACTTCTGTAACTTTGTTCAGTGCCACTTCTTCCTAAACAGTAATGACTGTGAGGATTCCTACTTCCAGGGGACAGGGAGAAAGCAGTCCTGTTAGCTGCTATTATTTTTCCTTTTTGCCCTCAACCAAGTAAGTGGGAGGAAGAGGAGAAACTGCCTTCCCCCACTGAAGACTCTCTTCCTGGGTGCCAGCTTTCCCCTACTCTTTTCTATGGATTAACATTGTATTCTTTGCTTTCTTTGTCTCTGGTGTTTTTATTTTAGGATAACCACACAGAACACGCCCTAATTTCATTCAGTCATCATTGTAAGATATCAGGTTATCTCTCACTTTCTTTTTCTTTTTTTAAAAACCATCATCATTTTCTCATTTTCTCTGGACATTGTTACTCTTATTTATTTCTCTTTAAACATTTATATAATTAGGATGCTATATTTGTTATTTGCAAAGAAACCTCTCCCTTATCTAGAGTCAGATCACTAATGCACAGCTATAGAATTTTAGGTCTGGAAGAGTATAAATATCACTTGGTTCAATCTCTTCCGGTGTTAGGAAAGAGGGACAGCCGGACTCGGTGGCTCAGCCTGTAATCCTGCGCCTTTGGGAGGCTGAGGTGAATGGATTGCCTGAGCCCACGGGTTCGAGACCCGCCTGGGCAGCGAGACCTCATCTCTACAATAAATCAAATCAAAAAATCAGCCGGGCGTGGTAGCGCATGCCTGTAATTCCGGCTACTTGGAAGGCTGAGGCGGAAGGATCGCCGGAGCCCAGCAGGTCGAGGCTGCGGTGGCCGGGAGCGGCCACTGCACTTCAGTCTGGGTGACCGAGTGAAACTCCAACTCAAAAAAAAAAAAAATTCAATACTGTACTAAATTATTTGGGTGCTCAAATTGTACCAGATTTAGGCAGTAGGAGTCCCTTCAGGGACTTGAAAAGTTCTTGTGAAATTCTCCCCCACCATTTTGCCCCCAAGCATTTCTTTACTTTCTGGTACAACAAGATGTTATAAGTTCTTCTTATATCTACCATGCCCCAGCTCTGGAACTGGATATTTCTTTGAGGAACTCTGGTTCCTTTTAGTGTCAGAGTCTAAGATTTGAGTACCAAGTACTCATTGCTACTAGGGAGTCTTTCTTTCTAGGTACTTTCAATAGACAAAGCTAGAAAAAATAAACATGTATTTTCCCATACATATAAAATACATATATACTTACATGTTTATGTGTACATATGTGTGTATATATGCCCAGCGGGTTGAGGCTGCAGTGGCCAGGAGCATGCCACTGCACTCCAGTCTGGGCGACAGAGTGAGACTCCAACTCAAAAAAAAAACATGAGGGACATTTTGCCAGAGTGGTCATACTTACATTAAGAAAACCAGTAACTGGATATTTCTAACTACAAACTAAATTAGCTATTATTGGATTAAGTGTACTCATGAAAATATGGACTTGACTTTTATATCTTTTCTTCAAATAAACAGTGAATTCCTAGAGGAAGAAATTAATTTTATTTAGAGTTATTCTTTATTTTAAAGAAAAATTTCGGTCAGGCATGGTGGCTCCTGCCTGTAATCCCAGCACTTTGGGAGGCAAGAGGATCACTAGAGCCCAGGAGTTTGAGATCAACCTGGCAACTTAGTGAGACTTTGACTTTACAAAATATTTTAAAAGTTAGCTAGGTGTGGTGGCATACACCTGTAGTCTTAGCTACTCAGGAGACTGAGGCTGAAAGATCACTCTAGCCCCAAAGTTCCAAGAGTTTGAGGTCACAGTCTGTGATCACACCACTGTACTCCAACCTGGGCAACACTGTGAGAACTTGTCTCTAAAAATAAAAAATAAAAGTTAAAAAAAAAAAAAAAAAAAAACCAGTGCAGATATATTTATACATATATGCATCCCCATAATCCTAATTCATTTTCTTAGACTTGTAAGATCTCAGGTAGATCAGTCTTCTTTAGCTGAATTTTTGTTTAATTTTGCTAGAGGTATGTTAATATAATCATTTGGTATAAAAATTATAGTCAGTTTTGAATGCTTAAAGTTAAGTTCTAGTTAATAGTTTGTAAAGCCCGAATATGTCTCATTCTCAAGAAGTATTGAAAATCTCTATTAAGTATAGCTGTAATCAAATGACAGGCAATAGATTTTATAAGCAACTGCATTTATATTCTTATACATAGGAGTAAGCACTGTGAAGTGTTAGCTGCCATTATTGTGCCTTTTCTTTTTCTGCCTTAGAACCTGGTGATGCCCCAAATAACTCTCCTAGCATACTGGCCATGCTAGAAACACTGCAGAATGCTCCCTACCTCGAAGTCCACAAAGACATGATTAGGTGGATATTAAAGGTAAAACTTCCTGCATTGCTGTGCTCTTTGTGAGAAACAGTAAATATTTGTCATTTGTACATTGTGATAATGTTTCATAGCTTCAGAATAACTAATACTTTTTTACAGACTTTTAATACTATTAAGAAGATAAGAGAGAGTTCATCTACCAGTCCTGTGGTAGAGACAGAAGGAACCATAACAGAAGAGGTATGAAAAGTGTGATAATACTAAAAAAGTCTGTAACAAGTTTAGTATGAATAAATTTATGTGCAGTAAATTGGTATTTGATATTATTCACAAACATTTAAGAAATGGAGGCCGGATACAGTAGCTCAAGTCTGTAATCCCAGCACTTTGGGAAGCCGAGGCGAGATTGCCTAAGCTCAGGGGTTCAAGACCAGCCTGGGCAACTTGATGAGACCTTGTCTCTACAGTAAATAAAAAAATTAGCTAGGTGTGGTATCACTCGCCTGTAGTTCCAGCTACTTGGAAGGTTGAGGTGGAAGGATTGTCTGAGCCTAGCAGGTCGAGGCTGTGGTGGCCATGAGTATGCCACTGCACTCCAACCTGGGCAACAGAGTGAGTCTCTGACCCAAAAAATAAATTAATTAATTGAATAAAACAAAATTTGAAAAAAAAAAATGGGCCATCATTTATTTCTATTTGTTGTAGCAATTTTTTGTCTGCTTTTTTTAAAAAAACAGGTTGAATAAGAATGTTTTTCCTCCTGTTTAAGTGAGATTTTAGAATAGTTTTAAATTAGTACTTAAAATAAAAGATATTTCTGCTTTGAGGGAAAAAATGTATATTCAGCATATAATGGTCTAATTGAATGGAGCATAATTTCAGAGTTCAAGAGACAAAGACAAAGCTGAGAGGAAGAGAAAAGCCGAGATTGCCCGACTGCGCAGAGAAAAGATCATGGCTCAGATGTCTGAAATGCAGCGACACTTTATTGATGAAAACAAAGAACTCTTCCAACAGACATTAGAACTGGATGCTTCAACTTCTGCTGTTCTTGATAATAGGTAAAAAGCATAATTATTTAATTGCTTGATCAGTCATTCTCAACCAAGAACAGTGTTGCTCTTTTCCTCATGCATACACATTTAGTCCTAAAGTAATTTAGTAAAATTGATAGGTAAATTTTGTGACCTCCATTTAGAGGAATTAATCCTAGAAATCTCTGACTATAGATAGGATAATTCATGTGTATGCCTAACATGGTACTATGTACAGAAGACCCTTGACATTTCATGAAAGAGTGAGTACACTAGGTTTAGGTACCTGAGTGTTGGGTTGCTGTGAGGATTAAAGGAGATGGATACATATGAGAGACTCTTGGCAGTTCAAGTCATCAAACCATGTGTTAAATATGAACATACCTGGAATCTGATATTTTATGATTATATAGACATTTCTTAGGCTCATTCATTATATTTGTAACCTTTTTATTGCAGCCCTATGGTTTCAGATATGACACTTACAGCATTGGGTCCCGCACAAACTCAGGTCCCTGAACAAAGACCATTTGTTACTTGTATATTGTGTCAAGAGGAGCAGGAAGTTAAAGTGGAAAGCAGGGCCATGGTCTTGGCGGCATTTGTTCAAAGATCAACTGTATTATCAAAAAACAGAAGTGTATTCATTCAGGATCCAGGTAAACTATAGCTAAGTCCTTATCCTCCCTTTTAATAATAACAACTGCCAGTTAGTATGATTGGTGGTACCTTTGACAGGTAACATGAGCAGAAGTTCCCCACTTGGCAGATGTAAAACCACTCTAGAAAGTTATCATCCCTGAGTCACATAGCTGATAAATGCCAGGAATTTAAAGAAAAGCTTTTCTTTGTGATGTGATGTTAATGTACTTTGTTGCTGAACAGTCTTTCCCATCTTTCTGCACGCTTACAGACTCGTGATAATTTGTTGACTTACTAAAATAAAAATACTTGTTTTGTCTTATGGACAGAACTAGAGTAGAATCTCTTGAGAACAGTGATGAGAGTTACCTGTGTGAGAAATGATCTTTGAGCCAAATTCTGACTTTGATTGGTGATGATACCACAGGTAGCATTCCCCAGAAAGCAGATTCTTGAGATAGAGATTACTGTGCAAGACATAGAGCCTTGGGATCAGGCTCTGTGGAAAGGAGAAGGAAACAGATTTGGGTCAAGGAGAAGTTGAGCTGTAATACAGTCCCTAAAAGGTCTCCGCCAACTCCATGGAAGCTCTGCAGCTGCATGGCCCTTCGGTGTTGTTCCTGAATGGGGGTGAGAAGACTGGATCTTAGACCCTTACACTGATCAGTGACTGGTTGTAAGCTGCCTTCAAAAGAGGTGTGGCCTTGAGTGAGGCAGTTTTCCCTCAAAGAGGGATGACAGTTGAAGGTCCTCTTTCAATAACCGAGGAAGTACATCATTCATGCCTTACAAGGGGATCTAGACAATATATTATCGTGTCCACCATAGACACATGTATGTCTCTACTCTTAGGCTTGTGTTCTATGTGCATATGCCTCAGCAATATCCAGTAAATTTCCTGAGAGCAGGAGCTGTTTGGGAATTTCCAAAGTATTTCTTCAGCCAGTGCCTTTCCCATTGCAGGATGGAAAGGAGATTTGATAAGGTTGCCTTCTCTCTATAAGGAAAGTCTTCACAGTGTGGCCCTCAAGCATCTTACTTGTGGAAGACTGGTCTGCTTCATCTTAAAAATAATCATTTGAACTAGATGCTTTATCAATTTTATTGCAGGCCAAAGACAAAATGGCTGATTTTATTTGTTACTTCCTGATGAAAAAATTTTGACTGGCTATAAGTGGATTTTCAAATGCTTTTGCAATTTATATTATAAAATATTTTATTCATGCTGTGACATTTACACTGTTCTAGTATATCAAGCAAATTGAAACTTGAGTAATTTTTCTTCTAGAATATTAGAGATTTTTTTATGATTATACCAGTTTATATAGAGAATTCCAAAAATTCCAAAAGAATCCAGGTGTTCATCTTGTTTGTCTTCATTTTTTGTTTCCTTTTAATATAAAAATTAGTACCAGATGACTGTATTGCTTTTTTTTTTCCATCTCAGATTTTTCAATGTCACTTTGGCTCTGGTATATTGATTATGGCTATTCTCTGAATGAATGTCTTTAGACAGACTCTCCTCTAGGGAGCGCCCTATTACTGCCAGAGTCTAATACTTTTTATTAGACATCCTTGTGGTCCAGCTGCCCTGAACATATGTAAGCAGCCCCATGAAGAATGTTCCTTTTGCATTGAGCTCAGAGCATGATGGATGAAATTGGAATCTCTCAGTGCCTTCAAAGTGTGAAACATTCAAAACATTGTATATAATTAAATACAGAGTTCCAATTTTAATTTACAATTCAGAGATGCTTAATTAATTTGCTCAGGATAATGAATATTAGAGAGTCTTGTTTTCTAAATAATCCAGACTCTTGCATAAATTACTGGTATCTCAAATTAAAGGGATAAACTAGCATTTTATTTCAAGCTGACAAGTCCTTATCAGGAATTTTACAATTTAAACTTGTACGTTTGTCATAGGAAAATTAAATGCTTGTTTTTTGCTTTGTTTTGTTTATCTGTTTATAATGCAGAAAAATATGACCCGTTATTCATGCACCCTGATCTGTCTTGCGGAACACACACTAGTAGCTGCGGGCACATTATGCATGCCCATTGTTGGCAAAGGTAATTTATATTCTTAAAATTCATCAAGAGAAGCTTATGTGAAGGCTCAAAATGAAATTTTAAAATAGAGGAAATTTTATTCTGGCAAAAGGGAAAAAGAACTAAAGATGTTGAAGGAAAAAAACCTCTGTATTGTTACCTAATAAATAACAAAAGTTATTTGCTTTGTCATAAAAGTAGAGGAGTCATAATATGTCAAATATATGTTTTAATGTAGCTTTATATCAGAGTCTCTTCTTTATCTTTCCAAAGAAGAAAGTGGATCTATATTAGCTAACAAACTGTGGATGAAGAAAAGGGTTTTTTCAGTGGGATAAACCCTAAAAGGGTAATGCTGTCTTTCTTTGAGTCTAAGGTGAACAACTCTTGATTCCAAAGATGATAGTACGTGCTTTGTTACTTCCCCAGATTGTAATGGCTCCCTGTGATAAGATGGGCTAGCCCTGAGCTTGTTCTCCTTGGTGCTTTCTATGCTTTCTGCAAAACCAACAAATCAATATTACTAATATTCTAGCACTGTGCTCCCTGATTTATCCTGAACTGCCTCCTAATGAGTAGCCATTAGCCCTGGGGAAATGGCCAGACAGCAATGGCACCAAGAAACTTCTGATGCTGTTTTGTGAATGCTTATTTGCATGGCAGTCTTTTTTTTTTTTTAATTTCCTTTTTTAGAGCTCTTAATCCGTTTTGATTATTAAAAACCTCAAAATCATTATTCAAAAGTAATTCAGTTTTCAGATATTCGTTTTTGAGCTATTATTTGTGAAAACAAATTATTTAAAATGTTGAGCTTATGACTCTCATGGAAATAAATTACCATTGTTTTTGATACCTCATGTTCTCTGATTGAAAGGTATTTTGATTCCGTTCAAGCTAAAGAACAGCGAAGGCAACAGAGATTACGCTTACATACAAGCTATGATGTAGAAAATGGAGAATTCCTTTGCCCTCTTTGTGAATGCTTGAGTAATACTGTTATTCCTCTGCTACTTCCTCCAAGAAATATTTTTAACAAGTAAGTTTTGGTCCCTAACACTTTATAACAAAGGAATAGTTTGCTTTAAAGATAATGAAATAATAAATCGGGGAAATCTCATTCTAGGTAATTGCATAATGTTTCCCAGATGCTTCCCAAACTTTTTTTTAATTTCATCATTTCTTCTAGCAGACCTTTGGAATATGATTTTGGTTTTTAGAGAGGAACAAGCCAAAATATAACTGTTTCTTAGCCATAGTTACTGTAGAAGCTGTAGAATTCCTGCGTATTTATGAAAACGTAGTATCTTCTTTGTTTAAAGATCTCCCTTCTACTTTTTAAAAAGATGCTTAGTAACTAATAGAAGGAGATGGGGAAACTCAAACTGACTTTACTGAATAGTCTAAATATTAAATACGGTTTTACAATATACTGGTCAATCAATGGTAGCTTCAAGAATCAGGCCAAAAAATGGGAATCCATTGGTGTGTTTAAAATGGAAAACTTCTGTCATTTCATAATTTTCAGGATACTCTGAGTTAATGGGAGTATTGGACCTATTCGTTTCATATATGAATTTGATACTATCTACTATTCAAATCTGAACTTCACTTCTCAGTGGAGAATTATGTTACCTACCTTATATGTACAAATACTAATATAAGTTTTGTAAATATAAATTATCCATTTCTGTGCTAGTATTTGCATTCAATTCAAAGCAAAGTCAGTTATTTTTCTTCAACTTTGGGAATTCAAACTTTGGTGTCTTAGTCTGTGCAACTACAAAATGTTCTTAAAATAGATTTGAGGGTAACCCCATGTTGTTTTTTTTTGTTGTTTGTTTTTTGAGTTGGAGTCTTACTCTGTCACCCAGACTGGAGTGCAGTGGCACACTCCCAGCCACCGCAGCCTTGCCCTGCTGGGCTCCAGCAATCCTTCCGCCTCAGCCTTCCAAGTAGCCGGAAATATAGGCGCGTGCTATGCCTGGCTAATATTTATTTATTGTAGAGACGAGGTGTCGCCAAGTTGCCTGGGCGGGTCTCAAACTCATGGGCTCTGGCAATCCACTCGCCTCGGCCTCCCAAAGTGCTGGGATTACAGGCT